ACTTAAAAGTTGTACTTAATTACCCAATTGATCACTTTATAATGAAATGGAAAGAAAGTAAGAGATACTCACCCCTCTATCATCAAGGACATTGACATATCCACTGAGAGGATCTGTGACATTAAATGGCATGGGATGTGGAGAAACATCTTGTGTGGTAGAGCTATTACTTTGGTTGGAGATCCGTCTTAAGTTTACTTTTTCTAACGCGGCATCCAGCGCAGGTTTCCACAGCTGCGTCTTGAGTTCTCCCTGGTACACATACACGGCAAAGGACACGAAGAGCGCGAATCCCGCCACTAGTCCAATCAAAAGGAGTCTTCTGGCCTGCAAATGATATGAGACATGAGTTGTGGTTGGTTAAGAGGGGATGATCAGGTGGTCAGCGAAATAAAGATATAAAGATAATGAAATAAAGAAAGAAATAAAGATATCTTGGTACTGGAACTGACTGAATTCTTTGAAGTTTGACAGGAAAAGGAGGGAATATAACTGTATGTACTACACTGTAAGAATCCAGTCAAGTAGTAGGAAAAAGTGACAGTTGACACATCAAACAAGTTGCGATTGAAACATGAATTTGATTTAGTCGGAAGTTTAGATGAATTTACTGTCTGTCCATGGCTTATTCACTTGTGTGTCATCTGCATAACGTGACATCACAGAAGCAGATTATCCTCATGTTTTTTAAGCATACAAACGTTTTTTTTTTTTTTTTTCAATATGAACCAGATGAAAACCGGTTTTGCTTGCAGTCATGGCAGACAGGCATTCCTAAGATACCATGGTGTACATGCATCATATCCACAGTAACAGACTGAGACAGTGAAACTACCCTGTACCTGAGGTCATACATCGTCATGTAGTCATCAAATGTTCACCTGCAACCCTTATGTTGAAGAAATGAAAACTTATCACGACATACATGTATCATGAATGTGTACAATTCCACAATGGTATCATCTCCAACAGTCAAATATTACAGCACAGCTTGCCCCATTTCTTGTTACTAATGATTATGTTATCATCTTTGAATATTTGATGACTCCTGTAGCTTTGAGTGTGATACTAATCCATCCATTGCAGCTGCTTCCCAGGAGAGCATCAGATGGGTAAGGTACCATATGCCCCACTTGGAGAGCACTACAGATAAGCATAGGTAGCAGTACACAAACAGCAATTTTATCTGTCACAACAAATATGATTATTATGAGCCAGAACACCTCTGTTGCTTTGCTTCTGACTCCAAGTACACATGTAGAGTAGAGTAGAGTAGAGTAGATTTCTTCGGCCACGTAGGAGCTTGGGTTCCAGTTTAGGCCGCTCCTCACTTTTAGTGCACCGACATCTCTGGTCTCTGAGGGTGATCCAAAGCTCTGTAGTCGAACATCAAGTTTCTCCCTTTCATGTGTAGATCTAGTCTTTCCTTGAAGGCATTTACACTGGGTGATGTCACCACTTTCTCTGGTAGGTTATTCCACCAAACCACCATTCTGTTGGCAAAGAAACAAGCCCTCTTGTTGCCATGTGCTGTCCTTCGTGCTACTCGCAGACAGTGTCCTCTTGTTCTGCTGTCTTAGCTATGTATTAGTTATCATATTTCATAATGATGTCAGACAAGTCCCTTCCATACTTAACGTAGTTAACCATCTTTAACGTTACAATCCTAGTACAGGTAACATATCAGTTTGGAATTGACAGTTGCATCATATAGACACTTACCTTGACATTGTTGAAGTAAGGTTGCAACATGGGACGTTTTGAACAACAGACAGCCATGTTTAGGGGTAGTATTAATATAATAATTTTCCCCTACAGATCTCGGCAGACCTTCGTGCACAGCAGTCAGCACAATAAAATATTCATGGTAATCACTTGGCACAATGTGGCTTACTGGTAGTGGTAAGTAGTTCCTGCGTCAAAGGGCAGGAACACATGAATGGCTAGTTCTGGCAGTACACACTTGGCACTTGACCCACTAGTACTGACTCTGTAGGTCCTTGAGACTGGACACATCCTGCTGATCAGTTTAATTATTGGTACCAGCTGTGTCCTTGGTGTGGTGTCTGACATTATCTGTTACCAACACTGATCTAGACTGATAGTTTAAACAATTACCACAGTAGTAAATCTGTGGTTGGGAAGAGCACAGAGGAACACACGTGTATTTTGAGGTTCACTGTGTGATGTTACAGCTCAACATAGTTTGAAAGTTCACAAAATTTACACATCCAATGCAGACTGTCTTAGTTATTGGTTAAGGTTGACCTACTTTTGCTTCCAGTGGCATTAAATCATGCAGCCCAAAGTCCAGACAATAAAATAAATATATGTCTGAAGTCTGCATGAGTGTGCAACTTTTAGGAACAGTATGACATGATTTTGGACACTAGTCCTTTCTCACAAATCTGGTCAAAGGAAGACATGTGTACACACCTTGTTGGTGCAAAAGACTAATATTCTTCTATATTGAAATTCATAGCAAACATAGTTTGCCATTAAACAAATACATAAAAAAGAAATTTAGAAGCACCGAAATGTCGTATATAATGCTAAATGCATGTTGCTTCTTCATAGACTTAAACCATATGGTGTAAAAAGATAGGCAGTATCTCACCGGCATGAGCCCAGATCCGTCTTCAGAGAACATCGAGAACAAAGACAGCGGGTCCTCTTCAGACGCCGGCTAGTACACTGGGTCTGGTCCTGGACTAACAGCAGCGGCTACCGACAACGGGCCCAGCACTCTGGCCCTGGATAGAGTATTAAAATCCGATCTGCTGTGTTGAAAGAACGTCACCACGTCACCAAGTTTGTTACAGGACGAGCAAGAAATTTGTTTGCTTTGTTGGGAGTACGCCAAACCAAGCCTGAGCCTTGAAGGGACCGTTATATCTCTGGAAAACTTCGCATAACGTCTCGACTATTTCCGATCAGAACGTCTCTGCTAGGGACGGCATCACATCTACAAAAGGAACGTACAAACGGGCCGATGTATACGGGGAGAAGTGGAGAACAGTTGCGTAGGAAGTTGAAGCCAAGAAGCAAATCTTTCACACGAAGTCTGAAGTTCACTTCCTGGGAAAGCTGTGGAATACATACGTCATTTCCGCTCTATCCCACAATGCCTCAAATCTATCAACCGATTTACGCTGACCTGTGTAAATTAATGCACTTTGTGTACAAAGAATACTGTGAATTACGCCCGACACTATACATGTATTTTCACCAAATATATTTTTATAACAAAAAGACTAGTTATGTGATTATGATTTTTGAGTATTTATGCGATATCACGTTGCTTTAAAGGCGGTACTATTTTGTTGACCTCATATAGCTGCTCTTTACACTGAGGTCAAAAGCTGTTGTTCGGCTAAGGCGTAAATCGCCACCTGGTACAATCAGCTGATACGGAAAATTACTGTTTTCCAAGATATCATCAATGACATAGTGGAATTCTGTGCCACCCAAGTCGTGTCTACATCTCTACTGTGCTGTCGGCAGGAGTTTGTTGGCTTGACAGGTTATTCTCATGGGTAAAATCATGACTGTGTTCGGTGCACATATGGCGAAATGTTTACATTTGCGATGATAGGTGTCAACATCTTGGTCATAAATATCATATAAACGTAAAGTTGGAGTCAAAGATGAAATTAGTTCGGGTTCTACCCAAAGCGTGTGGGATTTAGAACACTCTGTTCGCGTGAAAAGTCTGCGGAAGTCAGCATGTATCCTGTATATTACGAGTCCGCCCCTCGGAGAGATTTCATCTCTGTGATGGTCAGCAAAGAGCCTCCCGAACCGCCAAGCAAGAGGAGACAGTCCTGCCGACGGGTAAGGAAAAACATCTATGACTATGTCAGTCTTATAAAAACAAACACCATTTTCATGGTGGACACTTTTCTTCATATGCCTGTACCTTGCCAATCTCTAAAACGCAAATAATCTACTACATTATGTATCACCCAGCTGTTCTCATATGTTATGTCATATATGTAAAAGTGTGTATAAGCAAGGAGCTTCAAATTCTTGATATAAGTTATGTAACTTTGCACCACACAGCCATTGCTAAATGTGAAAAAAAATGTGACAGGTGGTTGTAAATAGACAATTTAGAGATAGATATGGTCAATAGATGTAATATTTATGAAAACAAATGTCTACTTTTATTACAAAACATTCTAGATGTGGAACCGGTTGTCTAGACTTCAACGCACAATCATCTGTGCAATCCTGGTGGTGGGAGCGATGTCAGGACTCTACATAGCCAACGGGCTCGTCAACGAGTTACCAGATGACAAGGACACCTTATCACAACAACATCAAGTCTTTCCTAATGAAAATGTTGTTCATGTGATGGACCAACGACACCCAGACAAGGATACAGAAGGACATCAAAGACTAGATAGTGATGATGATAAAGACAAGGAAGATAAAAGGTTGCATTTTGAACAGGTGAGAATTTTATTTGTTGAAGTGGAAAATGGTATTCCCCAGTGCTACAATATAAGCTTGCATACAAACATGTCAGTTCTTTTTTTGGAAGCACATTACATGTATTTTCAAATAGTAATAGGGGTTAAGAATGTTGTTGACAAGTTTTACATTGAAGAAGACATCACTGTGCAAAGTACAACTAAGCACTAGGCCCCGCAAGGGGTGTTGCTTAGTACCGTGTAGAAGTAAAAGTAGAAGTAGAACTGCATAGCTGTATAAAGTTTTCAATGAGGAATTCGAGGAATTAGAAGAGGTGCCTTGCATTGATATTTAATAAATTACATCAGGTTGCTGTTCTTTAATACTTGTAGCCTAGCATACTAGTACCATATGCCATGTACAAAATGTAATACATGTAGCTGCGACAAAAGAAGCATTAATAGTATAATACACAACTGTTCCTTTTTGTCATGAACATCATTTCTTCTGAAGCAGGAAAGACATGAGAGAAGGAAAGGAAATGTGGAAAGGGAGGAAAAGGCACAAATTAAACCAAAGATTGCTGATGCTGTCAGGCAGCCTGAGGTTAAAGGTCAGAAGGAGAGCATTGTGGGTAACCAGGAAGAGGATGAAGGGATAGGGGCAGCAGGGGGGGAGTTGGAGGTCAGTTACGTTGTGACGATCTGTACCTGGTGATAACAGGGTGTAAGGTCAACACTTCCTTCACACTCAGCCTTGTCGTGTATAATCACTGTTCTCTCTCTCTGTTTTCCTCTAATAGAATTAACAGTGACAAATTTTCTTACAGGACTGACTACAACTTGAAAAAAAACTATGTACCTGCATGTCAAATCAGCTTCATCAGTAATTAAACTGTAACTTAACCTGTCTTCAGATTAGACAGTTTGAATGATCTATACGATGTAAGACTGTTCTCACTTGCATGTACATGTATTGTATCCTTTAACAGGGTCTCCTATATTCTACTATCCTTTGGACTCACAGAGAGCATCATTTGCATGGTTCAGTCAGTGTCACAGTGTTTAATATATAATAAATGTGTTGTGAACACATTATGAAAGAATACAGATGTTTATGGATATTGCCCGGAATTAAATGCCTAATGTAAAATGAATGACAAACTTAAGTTAAACAGTATTGTCAAATTGTGCACCTTTGGTTTGGCTTTGCTGGTTGGTAATTGTACATATATATGTGTCATGTACTAAATCATTTCGGACAAATTCTCTTTTGATTCATTCATTTCTTTCTGCTTTGGGGTCATCTTTTCACCAAATTTGCATCATCTACAGCCTGCAGTTGATTTAAAGCACAGACACTTACCTTCCCACCAACCAACTCAACTTTTACCTTGCCTGACTTGTTTCTATATCTGCAGGTAAATGAAGAAAAGAAGACCGATGTGCAAGTCCCAGACGGTGCAGATGCTGGAGCAGATGTAAAGGTGCCCGTACCCGACATGGGAGACAGCATGGGTGGGTGAAATATCATTCATATCTGACTTATTTCTCCTATTGGTACCACAGGCGCTAGGCCACCGAGTTTTTGTTGAGATCTAACAATACATGTTAATTGTTTTGTAAACCATTAAATAGAATCCTTATTGTTGTTTCGCGTATGTTAGAACATACACTGTGTCTACTCATTCAGCCCGTTGTCATCACAATACAGTGGTCCATTAAAATATTGCCGAGAATCATACAGTCACATAACACGGCCCGTTGAAAGATTCCTGAGAATCATACGTACACTGAACACGGTCACAAACTGATGAGGATTCCAAAGAACCATAAGAACAGATACCGAAGTCTCCCGAAGATTGCCGAGAGCCGAACAGCGACTTCCGAACGCTTCAGCTTGGTTAGGTACTTAGTACTAGTATACACTAGGTGCGAAATGCCATTTCAAAAGACCCTATTTTCTGCGAAATGCCACAAGGAAAATAAAAGTTTTGGTACTATCTATAATCAAGGGGTAACTAAGTAGTCATGTAAACTTTTTTGGGGGTATGATACCGTATTTTAAAGAAGATATGAAGCATTTTGTAAAGTCCAATTTCCGGCGAACTGCGTTACCAGGTCGCTGCTGTACAGGTCAATGACATAATCGCTAGCCAATCAGACGCACGATAGGCCCACATTTCCCGCGCGGTTCTAAAATGTAAACGCACACAACTGGCTACATCACCCGACAAGAGTCTTGACATGCTATGTGTAAATATACTCTAAACACGTCAAACAAACCCCACCGACATATTTTCAGTTCTACATATGTCTCCCAGGCACGAGATTTGGAAAGTGTAGTTGTGCCCAATATCTCTAAAATGTACTATATATCGTTGTTTTCTGAGTCTGGGGAGGCAGGGACTTCACACCGAACGTGATTCTAAAAGTCACATTTTTGCTGCCACCCCAGTTGGTAACGCAGTCCACGGGTAGGTGTTTCCTACCCTGTCATCTTTTTGAAGTTATCACCGCTAGCGCTAGCCCCGGCTTGGGGTTCTATCGAGTCGAGCAGCGGTTTTGCGAACGCATTCGAGTTTACGAAACCTGTTCTATTCCCGTCGGCCTTTGCACTATCTAATCTCCTAACCATGAACGCCGATGTAACAGCTGAGTAATGAGTGTGCTTTTATTGTATGATTCATGAGCGGACCAAGTACCCAGCAGTATGTATTATATATGTATGGTTTATTGTACGGAGATTTCTAGGGAAATTTTTCAACGGACCGTGTTCACGGTGTTAAGTGATGAGTGTATGATTCTCGGGAATCTTTCGACGGACAGTGTTCAGGGTGTTATGTGTTGAGTGCATGACCCTTCGGATCCTTTGTTCATAGTGTTTGTGTCCAGTGTATGATTGTCAGGAATCTTGTACGGAGTGCACAGTATACAGTGTGTTTATAAAACAAAACAACAGTGATATCAACAAAAACTCGGTGGCCTATTGCCCATGTTGGTACAAGTATGTAGTTCAGGTTACAGCTGCTTTGTTCCTGCTATCAGCATTCAGCTTTTATCTAGAAACTGGACTGGACAAAACTTAATTGCAATGTCAATCCTGAAACATTAAAATACTCTTAACAGATGTACAATGTATTTTCAAATCATCCACAGGTTCACAGACTGCCCAACAGAAGGCAGTAGTGGAGGCTTTTAAGCATGCCTGGAAGGGGTACAAGCAGTATGCCTGGGGTCATGACGAGCTCAAGCCTATCAGTAAGGCTGCCAGTGATTGGTTTGGGCTGGGACTGACCATTGTGGATTCACTGGACACCATGTGGATCATGGGATTGATGGAAGGTCAGAAACAGTGTTGATTTCTGAAATTTGATATCTGTTCCCAGTCTTTGTTCCAAGTTAAATTTTCATTGTACATTTTTAGAACAATGATAATGGAAGATGACATTCCTGACATTCCTGTACTTTCCCCAGAGTTTGAGGAGGCTCGGAGGTGGGTAGAAAAGGACCTGGTCCTGAAGAAGAATGTTGATGTGAACCTGTTTGAGACGACAATCCGCGTACTCGGAGGACTACTCAGTGCCTTCCACTTGTCCAATGATCAAATCTTTCTAGAAAAAGCTGTAAGTAAAACTCTACCATTAATTAGCCTTCAAACTGGAAAATGCAAAAATGCTAAAACATTTGCCAGAACCAAGGATATTCTTTGTATACTGGTTTACTGCAAGAAAGAGGACATTTTGGTTTCAATGTACAAAAAAACATGTATATTTCATTCAGCCTCCTTGTAATTCTTGCATTTTGAATTACATGTAGTTTCCATCAAATTTTCAGTAAAACAATGGAGTAGTTGATGTTTTATTCTGAAATTTACAAAAAGGACAAATAATATAATGCTCATCATTAAAAGAACCTTTCACACTTCAGAGAGAGTTAGGGGACCGCCTGATGCCGTGCTTCAACTCTCCGTCCAAAATCCCGTTCTCGGACGTGAACCTGGAGTCGGGGAAGGCCCACCCGCCGCGCTGGGGGCCAGACAGCACCACCTCGGAGGTCACGTCTATCCAGCTGGAGTTCAGGGAACTCAGCCACCAGACTGGCAATGACAAGTACAAGGTCAGCTGCTTTGTGTAGTCTGTTCCACTTCTGATCTAGCTGGGTATTACTAGTAGTATGTTGAATGACTCATCTTGTATGTGTTTTTGGACAAAATGACAGATTATTCTACAAGAGTCCCCAAGTTCTTTTTTTTTGGTGACACCTCAGGGGCGGAGGCATTTTTGCACAGTACTACGATCACTTTGAAAGAATTTAAAAAATTGCAGTAACTGGTTGAAATGATACCACAGTGCATTTTGTAATCATTTAGAGCTTTTATGTCACATAATCATATTGAACTACATTGTGTGTTTGCTTCTTTTTACACAGAAAGCAGTAGATGAAGTGATGGAGCATATCCAGTCCCTCCCCAAGGACAATGGACTCATCCCCATCTTTGTCAACGCCCGCTCGGGGCAGTTCCGAGCGGGAGCTACCATCACGGTCGGGGCCAGGGGGGACGAGCTACTATGAGTATCTCTTGAAGCAATGGCTGCAAACTGGGAAATCAGAAGACAAGTAAGTACATGATTGTATGTTCATGGACAAGTGGGCAAGTCAATACAGTATGCATTCCAGGTCACCTTAGAGCATTGACAGTTTAGACGGAAGACAGTTTTTATGTCATTTTCTGTTCAACTAGTAAAACAAAGCCTTTGTTTTGTATTTTAGGGATGTTGTCATGCATTTGCAGGACTCAAGTTCTGTTTAAAATCTGCCTTCACCAATTGATAACTCCCAACATATTGCAATTTTTAAACTCTTTAATCCATTTCTCTGCATTGGGATTAATAGTGCTCATTACATTCATTACATACAATGTACGTTATTTTGTTGTCTCACCCACAGACTCAGAGATGAATATGTGACAGCCATAGACGGGATGCAGAAAAACCTGGTGAAGAGCACTGCTGCCAATGGTCTCAAGTTTATAGGAGAACTGGTCAGGGGAACCTTCTCTCCAAAAATGGTCAGTTACATATAAAACTCTCTATCCATGTAATTGCCTTCATTTGTAAGATGTACAAATCAAAGGAATGAGATATAAGTTATAATGTAAAGGAGAGATAGACTTGGTACTCATGAATTGATCAAGTTACTGGCTCCCTCATTGGTTTAGAATGGACCAATCACACGATACCATCATGCTATTAGCATGATTAGGGTGCTTTGATACATCAACCACAGCATACTAACTCTCCATTATGGTAAACACTTACAGTAGCGTTTATTGCCTAATCTTTGTTCACATTGAAGGACCACCTTGTGTGCTTCTTACCTGGAACCTTGGCACTGGGACACCACAATGGTCTGGACGCCTCCCATCTAGACCTGTCCAAGGAGCTGGCCAAGACATGTTACCGCATGTACGCAGACATGCCCACTGGACTCAGCCCAGAGATAGCTTACTTCAACATCAAGGATCCAGGCAAACCAGATATTGAAGTCAAGGTGTGGCTCTCTACAGCCTGGCTGTGATGTTTCTATGATTTTCTACCGTCCAATGGCTTCATTTCAGAACAACAAAAGAAACGTAATGTACATGTATATTGGCCTCACTGCAACCATACACAGTGTTTACTCGAGAAATTCCTTTATTTCATTCTGTGATTCTGAAATTCAAACATAGATGACATTGATACCCATATATATTCCTAAAAAAGTTGATTTTATTTGTAGTGTATTTCAGATGAAAAAAGTCTGTAGAACTGAAATAATGGACAGTTTTCCATCTATAATTTCCCATGCAGAGTGCCGACACTCACAACCTGCTGAGACCAGAGACAGTGGAGAGCCTGTTCTACCTCTACAGACTGACAGGAGACAAACAGTACCGGGACTGGGGATGGAAGATCTTCCAAGCCTTCGAGAAGTACACCAAGGTTCCTTCAGGAGGCTACTCATCTATAGGCTCTGTCAAAGACACCAAGAACCCAAGATTCCGGGACAAGATGGAGAGCTTCTTCTTGGGAGAGACTTTGAAGTACTTGTTCTTGTTGTTTAGTGATGATCCGAACTTGTTGCCACTGGACAAGTATGTGTTTAACACAGAGGCACACCCACTGCCTATATGGAGACCCTGAGGACTGTTGAAATGTGGGTCTCCTTTTTCCTTCCCACTGATACAAAGATGTCAACATGTCCTTCCCACCTGAGTTTTACAAGGACTTGAGCAAAAACTTAAGCTTTTGGCAATGTTGGATCGTTGCATTACCATTGGGGCATGCAGTGGACCAGAAAGATGCTGAGATTGCTGCCAGGATGAATTGTCCAAATGTTGTTTTTGCCCATCCACTTTTTTTTCACATTGTAAATCTTGCGTACATAGCAAACATGCGTGCTTCCTATAAAATGGCACGCATTTGTTGTCCTCAGCATTTGTTGGCATTTTCAAGGAAGAGAAGTAGTAGAGGGGTAAAGACTCAGGTAAATGTGTGTTACTTAGATTATCATGCTTCTCTACAGAGTGTTGTTATAGGGAGTCTATGTGAGACTGGTGTCAAGGTATGCTGCTACTGTTTCATGTCTGCTTTGATATTCCACAAGTACATGTTGATGTTGTCAAATTGATTTTTAGTTAGATGTGAATATTGTCAATTTTGATAGTTAAGAATAGCCTACATAGGATTTGGGTACTTTAAGGATCCTTTTCTTGGTCTGCCCATCATGAATATGTCTTGCAATATTTGCAAAGGAAAATGTAGCATCTTACTTATATAGTTCTGAGAGACCAAGAAAGTCCATCCACCATTAATCTAATCTTTGCAATTACAAATGTATTTGGTCAGCTTGTACAGTTGTTACTTGTATCTCTGAAAGCAAAGTTATGTGGCAAAGGACAAATGCAATATTTTAGAAATATTGTTTATAGCAATATACATGAAGTTCTGGATGCAAGGGAAGTGCAAGGAATGGTGGGCAAATGTAACTGTGCAAACAAGGAAATTATCAGAGAACATATATGAACATTTAATACAGGCTATAAAAAAACTGGGAACGGATGGTTTAGAGCATAGAGAAGCAACAATTTTATACCAGTATTCACCTACACCCAGACTCTTCACTGTCTGTATGTCAGTTCAACAGTATTTACCACGTGATAGTATGGGCTATACACATGTATATGTTACACTTACACAGTATGTATTTGTTGTGTATATAGTTTATGACTACTGCAAAACTTGTTGGCCCCATTGTCCCATCAGAAGAATGCAAGAACTGCAGTTGCTGAAAACAAAAGCTTGTAACAAATAAAAGTGTTACATCTTTAAAAAAATTCTTTATCACTAGCAGATAGCACATACTGATGTAAAATATTCTCTGAGAAATGATCAGTTAGTGACCACCACAGGAGCTGTCTTGTCTGTGCTATTGTAAAAGAATTGCAGAAAACGTTCTTGCCTTGATGCACCTAGTGGTCTGGAACACCATTCTTTTATTTAGACACTTGGTCACTAGAAAATGATACGTTGTTCTAGAACTCCTTTTCTTATAAGTTCTGTTTGCAAAAGGAACTTCATAAGAGTATAAAATTTGAAGTTTCTTAAGGGCTAAAGTATAGCAGAAGAATGTGTCAAGTCTTTTTACATTGTGCAGTTTTCTCTTTGTGTGCTGATTGAAGAACTTATGCAAAATATTACCTGCAATAGCTTCCTTATAAATGAGGAACACAATAGTGATCCACAGTGTATCCTGTCACAATTACATACTGGTAAGAAAAATATAACTCTATCTCCAAAAGTGTAAGTTCTGATGCTGAATATGAAACTACTGTTTAAGATTTGAATTAATCTGACATGTACATGATTGTGCCATAAGGAAAAATTCAACAAAACTTTGTGTGTATGTGAAGTAGCAATGTCAGTTTTCCAGTAACCAACCTTTCTTGCTCAATGATGTTTTTATGGGCACTGTGATTGGCCTGTCTATTTCATTGAAAGCCTATTTGAGCCTCTCTCAAGGTAATCAATTATCATATTTAGTTCACTTCTTTTTGGTGATTATCAACAACTAGGTGTAAGTACAAAGCTTTAGGCCCATGTAAATGAAGATATTACATGTATACGGCTGTTCTTGTGTTTAGTAAATGTATTTTTGTACTCGATGATGTTGGCTTCTTGTACAAATTCATGTTCTTGTAAATATATGCTGTGTACTAATATATCAAGTAATGAAATGTTTTGTAGTTTGTGTATCGCGTTTTGTGTGGAAGGGGATAATGATGATCTTCCAAATTCTGAGAGCAAAGGTGTCTGACTCTTTCCCAGACCCTGACTTCGTCTTTTGCCTGATATTTCCTCCTTTTGGGGTGTGTGAAGTACCTATTCTATCTAGAGACGCTCCAGATAACCATCAATGCAACTTCCAATGATCGACTATTAACTGTGTTAATTAATTCTGAGAGCAAAGGTGTCTGACTCTTTCCCAGACCCTGACTTCGACTTTTGACTGATATTTCCTCCTTTTGGAATGCGTGAAGTACCTATTCTATCTAGAGACCCTCCAGATAAGCATCAATGAAACTTCCAATGATCGACTATTAACTGTGTTAATTATGGATGACAACTTCTTTGTTCTAGTATTTTGGGATAGGGGCCGGCGTCTTCGCGTATGCATTTTCAAAGCATTATTGTAGTGGGTTGGGTTTTCCATCCTCTACTAAGGCCTGACTTCTAAGGGGAGCAAATTGGTCAACAGGCAGGGGTCGCACAAAGAGAACGATACACACTGTATTAATGAATGAATGAATGAAAGACCTTTATTGTACATTTGTGCTCTAATAAGCTAAGTATGAATGAATGAATGAAAGACCTTTATTGTACATTTGTGCTCTAATAAGCTAAGTACAGGTCATGGATAGACAAGGAAAAGGATACAGCAATTGCACTTAAACTATACATACTAATGTGGTCTACTAAGTACATGTTCAACTTCTCGCTTCTTGACGCAGTTAAAGATGTACGAGCATATGGAACCAATAATACATGATTTGTCAAGTTTCATAAGAAATCTGATATTTATATTGGAAAGAAAGTTGAAATATGAGAGACACCCCCAACATCCGTCGAATCGAAGGAGGGCGAGGATTCTGAAAAAAATCGACTTCCGCAGGCCTGTCCTTGGTGCTGATTGACTCCTATTTCAACATCTCTGTGGATCAAGATAACAACGCGGGCTCAAAAATAGTCAAATTTAGCCAAACGGGGAGAATAATTGCCCGGGGCAGTTTGGCCTCCGTGGAGCTCATTTGCCCGCCCGGGGGGAAATCAACCTTCCCACTGGCTGACTCTGCTGGTCAATTACTATTCTTCCCATGCACTACGCCAATTTCTACAATGCGTACTCCGGTTGCTATAGGAAGGCCTGGTGGGTGCTAACAATATTGCTGTTTATAACATCATTTCAATTTTTTTTAAATACAGAAGTTCTTTTAAAACGCTGCAGCATGTAAGTTACTGGTAGTTACAGGGAAGTATGCATGATATTATATCTCTAATCTCTATCGTGGTCTCTGTAAGATGTAACGTTACCTGTCGGCAGTCCATCATGGCCAGTGACTCAGGATCTATGGTAGATAATTCCACGCCGCAAAATGTTTTCAACTTTTCTCCCCAGATACAAGGAGGTGGAACGTTGGTTTTTCTTTATTACGTCACAATGAACCGTGTGCGATTCTCAGTACATTTTGACGTCACGTGCTGACGCTTTATGACTTATCATGAAGTTTTGGTGACCAACGATGCATTGGAGTTATGGCAGATGACATTTCTAAGTTGCTACATATGACAGTTCTGTAGTACACTTCTGAGGCCTTCTGATACTACCGGGTACTAGTATTATCATATTTGGCGCGCAAAAACAGCGTGCAGGTAAGCAGCCACCAATAGCAGCAGGCGGGACGCCGTCAGGGTACGTCTATTGGTCAACGCCCAAGCCCCGCCCACCTGTTCCCACCGGGTTTACCCGCCTTTTGTCATGCAGATGTCGGACCGCGCTCATTTGTTTGGGTTCTCCGTGGCAACCCGACCCCGCGGTCGGCAAGGCGACCCGGGCCGCCAGGAGGGCAACTCGATATCGGCGGGGGCAGCCTGGCTACACGCGAGCTGTCGGAAGCGGGCACCGGTCGGTACGACCCCGCGAAACACGAACATGGAGACCACGTCCACGGACGCCAAGCAGTACCTCTCCAAGAAGGAGATTCCGCAACTGTTTGAGGTGAGAAAGTGTGAACGTACCTGTCTAGTTTCCGCGTGTCACTTTCAATAAGTTGTTTTCGCAGATTGCTCTATCTGCCATTATTTACATCCCTTCCACGTCAAGTCGAGCAGAACCAAACTTTGTTGCATAAGTTTGCCCAAACCACGTCGTCAAAGTGGATAACGCTTATAAACACAGCTGGTCTGGTAAACAAACCACAAGATCGCAGCTTATTTGCACACTTTCGTTTGTGTATATCTGTCGGAATGTTCAGAAAAGATCAGAGAAAAGTCTGAATCCACAGTGTACTGGTGGTGAGAAGGAGGGAGGGGGGTAACCGTGAATAATGCGAAAATTATGTGCCCACGGGTGGCCCAAATTACTGTTTTTATACGTATCCTGCAAAAACAACAGCCTACAATAGTCCAAACAGTACTTTTTAGTACACTAAAGCTGCCAAAATGAGACATCTAAGCCTTCCACTTGTTTGTTGTCATTGCTGCTAATATGTAAACTCATCCATATAATGCCCCACTGCAAATAAAAAGCAGCACAATACTTACAACGAGGTCAGGCAACTAAATCAACAATCAGAAACAAATCTACTATCATTAGAGCATTCTTCAGGAGGCAACTCATGAAGTGTCTGTAACTGAATGCATGCTACTTTTAACTTAAAATTTAAGACCTCAAATGATGTCATCCCTAAGTATAATTTACCTATAAAAGCAGTGTTTTGTTTTCTATGAACCCCATCATGAAGGTGCCTATTTATTTAAGTTAGGAGATTTAGATTTGTCACGTCAATGACCACTTGTGCATAATCACAAGATTCAGTCCTCATCCAATATTACCTTTAAGTTCTCATTCTCAAGAAAATGAACTAAAATGCACAGTGTCACGTGATATTCTGAAAATTTCAGAAAATAGTTTATCTGAAATATCAATGTCATCAACTAGGATGGGGAAAATGCCCTCTCTGGTCCATTCTGCTTGTCTTTAAACAACTCTTGCAGCTCTTTAAACAACAATTGCGACTAGATGTGCAAATGATGATGATGTGCAAAAGTTAGGTGGGATAGGTCGTTCAGGGTAATATAACTAACCCTGCATGCCTACGAAGCTGGTATGTTATGCCAAAGGGCAGTTATACTGGCTATACAGATACAGAATGATACAGAAGCTGGCATGTTATGTCAAAGGGAAGTTATACTCATAATACTGGCTACTAGTATACAGATACAGCTTGTCAAAACTGTAGAGTTGATGGGCATCTGCTTTGCTGCATCAGTATACTATATGATGTGTGTAATGATTTTTTTGTTTGTAGCAATGTTTATAGTGTATACAATGTCCTGTATTATACCAAAGTAACTGTTACAAAACACTTGTTGCAGTAGTGCGTCACACAGTGTTGTCAAATATTTCATTTGTTCATGTCATAACAAAGTGATTGCTGTGTCCCAGAGCAATTTATCAAAGTCAATAGCTTGCCAAGGGAGTGATAAATTGCTGTTAGAGCCTATTGAATTAACTATTTTCACAGTTGATAGTTTTGGGTGGGTTGCTGGGAGCTATACACACAATATTTGCCCACTTAAATTGCTCTAATATAAACACAATGTCAAGTGTGTCAAATGTTGCTATGCAAGACCTGGAAATGATCCAAGAGTGAGAAATGTTTGCCTTTTACCTAACTTAGTAACTACCCATAAAAATATGGAAATCAGAAGCTTCATTTGGCTTTAAAGTTTTACCTGCTACCATGATGCATCTTTGTAAATGAGAAATTGATTCAAAATTGATATTTTCTTTTCTTTACTTTAAGACATCCTTACATATCTTGGAAGTCTTCTCTAATCATTCTCTTTGTTAATTATTTTTATGACAGCTCTATCCATGATATGCAGGATGTTTTTGAACATATTAAAAGTCAAACAACTTTATGTATAGCTCAGTATGCCAGCTTGTGTACCATACTGTATTAAGCCTACCAAAAGTAATTAACAAAATTAGAAAATCCAGATATTAAATTGTTTGTTACATTATACATGTATGTTGTAAAGAAACAGTAGATACCCACAGACCAGTTGTTGCTAACAGTACGGAGTACACACCCATATTCAACAACAAATCCTGAGTGCTCATACGCAACACTTCAGCTGCTCCGCATAAAAGGTGTGAATGAAACCTGACACCACCATTATATAACAACAAAGGACCTTTCTTCTCTGATTGCTCCTGCCTTGTTTTACAAGTAGAGTCAGGTGTAAAGGGCTTTGCAATGGACTGGGACTGTTCATGTTGCCTGTCAATAATGTTCAGTACCTCAGTATTCTCAGTGCTTATATTTCGAAACTGTGTAACGTTTAGTAGGAAAAAACTTTGAAAAGTTTGATACATTTTAATAAAGCTTTATATATAATACTATTATATCAGATTATGAGAATATCTTGGCCACAACACTTGCAGTATTCCATCTGGTTTGAAATTTGATATTTAATATGAATTCTTAATTCAACTAAATTATAGAATTAGAATATTAGGTATGATATCACATATGGGGAGTGCACTCTATTGATAACTGTAGTCAAAACCCTGCATGTAAGTAGCGTTACTAAAGCTTTATTTTCCCTCCATGTTTTGCTTTCTAACTGTTAAAATTGAATCTTCCGTACCGCCTGCTATAGTATCATAATTTGATTTCACCAATCCCTGACTACCTCTGAAACTTAAATCTAATCCAATGACTGTTGTAACCACAGTGAAATGTAACCTTAGACTTGCCTGAGACGTTTGCAATAAATATATCTCTCTTAAACACACCTATAAGTCCTTAACATCTACATGCATAAGCTAGTAACAGAAAGTTGAGACAACAGAATTAATTAAGCACAAAATATCAATGCTTCAATTTACCTACTGACTTCAGTAGTAGATTTTTGTATCTCCAGATATGCTTTCCAAAGTTTTCTCCCAGATCCATTGAGCTGTAACAAGGTTAAGTGTAATTGAATAAACCAGTAAACGACTTCCTAATCTTGACAACGCCATTTTTAAGGTGTACAGGGTTACTGCTGGGCTAGAGCAAATTGAGGGTTGTGGTGAGTGACACAAATTGTAGAAATGCCAAAGAATAGAGACTGAAAAGCAGTGAAAAATCTAAAAATGGACTTGAACACTGCACAATTTGTTTCGCTGATGATATGTTTTTCCCTCCCATAGTCGATCCTGACAGGGTTGATGTACAACAGACCTGAGGATCACATCAGCTACATCGAGGACTGTCTACAACAGGCCAAACAGTCGGATATACAGAACCTCAGATGGGACAGTTTTGTACGGGACAAGGCTCTGCCTCCAATCCCATCGTACGATGGCACACGGTCAACCACTTTTCCTACAGGTGAGCACCAAAGCAGAAATGCATAATATTATGTATCTATGAAAGAAATTCAAATTCCTTCTTTTTTAACCTTCCCCTATTGCCCTAAACTCCTTAACCAATACAAATTTGGTGCCATAAGGTTGTCTTACCAAGGATCATCATACTATTCATAGTACATTAAGTTTGAAGTAAATCTAAATTACATTCATAATTCAGAAACATTGCTTAGCTATTATTATTTACAGAGGGTAGCTGACATTGGTAAAAGCTTTGAGTTGAAACTGTCTTCCTTGAATGTGTTTTTCAAATGTCAGTGAAACAAAAACTTGTTAGTCTGTCATTGAAATAAGTAACATAGCACCTGATTGGACAAAACTTTCTGCTCCCAGCATGCATTGCCTCTATGAATCCATTGATACTTTCTCCCTATGCACATAGCACACTGGCAGTTCAAAGAGGCACATTATGTTTCCTCACAGGTGTACAACTCGAACTTCTCTTGAACCAGGTGCTTCACTGTCTTCTTAATTACCTCCATGAAATGTGTCATGGAGGTTATATTTTCAGTTGTGTTTATCTGTCTGTCCGTCCTTCTGTTGGTCAACAAGATAACTCAAGAACGCCTGGATGGATTGATTTCATACTTGGTGTGTTGGTAGGGTGTGACGAAAACTGGAAATGATGAGATTTTGGTCCCCCTAGTGGCTTCCCTTGGTACTGCAGCGCAACTTCCGGTTTACGATATCTCGCGATCTGGACATGCTAGGGTCATGAAATTTTGATGGAAGGTAGCTCTCGTGCTTGGGAAGAAGTCATATGAGTTTGGGCCCCCTAGCGGCTTGTTCTGGAACTGCAGGGCACTTTCTGGCGAAATGTTTAGAAGCCAATAAGTCCAGACAGGAACAACATATTTTCATTATTTTTGGTGTGTAGGTAGCTGAGAGAGAGATGTACATAATTAAATGCAAATTATGCAAATGAGGACTTTATTTGCATAATTAATGAGGAAATTCTATAAGTACAGTGTTTTACATTATACTACTTACATACATGTAATGTATGTAACCTATGGCAGGCGGAACTTCAACAGATACTAATTATGCAAATGATGACCTAATTTGCATAATTAATGCGAAAATTCTATGGTTTCGTAATGGTGAATGATGAGACATCTGTAAGTTAATCAAAATTTAACATACATCACGATGCATATATCATGTTAATGCAGAGGTCATTTGCACAATTAAAGAAGAAATTTACATTTACATATCAAGATCATATTTCATGGAGGTATGAGATCTCGGAATTCTAGTTCATCATATGTTTGAAACAAGCTACAATATCAACAACTACCGTCTAGTTGATGTCTTTCTACAATGGATTGTTTTACTGACTTGTATCTGTTTTTGTTTTTGTTTTCAGAGCCAAATATGCAAGAGATGCACAAAAACCAGGTGTTACCACCCATACCCACAGCACCACCCCCACAACGACCAGCTAATGTCATCATTGTACTCGGTTAGTCTACCTTAAAGTTTCTACTTTAAAAAGTGTTAACTTTTTAGAAGTATGTCACAGACTTGTTTGGTTCATTTAGTTTTCTACTGTTCATTGTCTCCTTTCCCTTGAAGCTGGATGGGCTGAATTACATTCTTCTTGAAGAAATCATACACCATGTGACTTAACATGTTTATTTTATTGCCAAACAGACTTGTTTATATGTTTGGCAGCTTGATGTGTACATGTTGTCATGAAACAAGCCTAGAATCAACAATTCTTACCATGGTAACAAGTATTCACTTGGGATATATAACAATGCATCTCTCTTTTTGTATCAAGATTGTATGTAGATAGCCACATTGTTGCTGGTACGTGTGTCATGGAGGTTACACATTGTTTAAGCAAGGAGAAAAAGGAAGGATTTTGTACGTGATTAGTGTTTGTATGGCTTACCATGGCACTAGCAGGGAAGCTAAGCATTTCCTTTGTTTCCATGGAGAGTAAGTACAAAGTTTTTAGATAGGTGACTATGAATTCTGGTGGGTCAACAATTGGTACTTTAAACATTGTCACCAGGTTTTCTTTGTTCCAAAATGTGCAGGTAACCTTACCATTTTGGTCAAATTAAAAATGTAGACAAAAGAAAGGAAAAAAATTGGTTATCTTTTATCTAGCTACTCATCTCATCAAAAGATTACTATAGGACATTCATGTTTTCCTGGAAATAAGATAAGATACATAAGGAAATTTAATTGGCAAGTGTGAAAACTCATCAATGGTGTGATTGTACACATTTTAGGTGGGCCGGGTAGTGGGAAGGGCACCCAGTGTAAGCAGATTGAGGCGAGGTATGACTACCCGCACCTGTCCATGGGAGAGATCCTCAGGACCAAGATCATGGAGAAGGGACAGCCGCAGGAGAAGTGGGGAATCATCACAGACACAATACAGAAGGGGGAGCTGGCACCAACAGTACGTTGTCTTGTTGAGTACATGTAACGTTATTAATAAGCTTGTACTTACTTACTCACTAATGGGCCCTTGGCCCCGGGCAGAGCACTGGCCACCGATGATGTGATTATACACATTTCACATGGTGCTAGCTGCGCATGTTTCAAATTTTTTAAGTGATTGACTGCTAGTATTCAGCTTATCGTTTTCTTCTTTTGCATTCTGTCTTCTTTCTTCTATTTTTCTTGATTCTAAAATGAAAATGTGGCAATGGTCAGTTAAGGTGTAACACAAAAGTATAAGAATGATTATCTCTTAGTTATTTTGATTGTTGGTGAAAATTTGGGGATAGATTTTTCAAAGCAGAGGTGACTTTTGACTAGTGAAACTTTGAGGATTGTGAAAAATTGACATTTAATAAAGGACGTGAAAAACATCCTTACTTTCTCAATGAAGACTATTCAGTGATAGGTTCCCCTTTTCCATCCTACAGGCAGACACTGAGCAACTCGAGGACTTGCTACTGAAAGTTGATATTGTTGAGTGAACTTCCTTTAACTTTGGTGTTTGATAGTCACTATTCCGGGGGAAGAGTTGATTACAATCATCTATTTTAACAACATACTAAGTCACATGTATGACAAGGACATGTGACCAACCACTAATCATGCACATTATGGCATTTCACTCTTCCCATCACAATGTTTCCAACAGCACTTTGCAATCTTTGATTTTTTTCCCTTTTGCATGCCTTGCACATCTTAAGACACTTCACCCTTCCTTCACAATATTTTCAAGAGCACTTTACGATGTTTTTTTTTTCTCTTGCATGCTTTGCTACAAGTCATAGTGACTCATAAAAAGTTCATATGCTATGATATCAAATGTTGTTCATGAGTTTGTTACTTACTTAGTGCACTTGCGTGTCTAGTGAAATTTTGATTGGCAATAATCACAGTCTAAATGAAGAACATTGTTAAAATGTGTTCTGTCCTCTTCTCAGGAATATTCCTTGGAGTTACTGAGGGAAAAGCTGTTTGAGTGCAAAGACAAGCCTGGAGTAGTGATCGAGGGATTCCCCAGGACTGTGGACCACATGCACATGTTTCACTCCATGGTAAGTCATTTTTCACCGGGATGTAACATATATTGGACTTAACCTTCTCTCTGCCAAGCTAGTGTTTTGGCTAAGTTTTAGGTCAGTTTCCAAAAGCAATAAATTATACTACTAATGGTAAATGCATTTACATTGCAATATCTGTTTAATTTACTTAATATTTATTGGTCAAATTGATTGATTGATTGATTGATTGATTGATCACGTCTATTTCCAGTACGGTCCTGCATCATTAGTAATCTATCTGGACTGTGATGAGGGTCGTTTGGAGACCCGGCTGCTGAAACGTGCAGAGGAGAGGAAACGTCTGGACGACAACATCGGCGCCGTCATGAGGAGACTCAACTTCTTCAAGGAAAACAACCCTCCCATTCTTACATACTACGGGGCTATCGGTGTGCTAAGAAAGGTAAAAAGGATTTCCATGCTGTAATCCTCATATGCCAATTTATCAGCTTTCCTGTGTAATAATGATGATTGAAACTAAATCTAAAAATGTTATATTGATGATAGTAGTTTGACCATCTTGCATCATCAAGACTGTTGATCTGACTTAAACTTTGATCACTTTCTGACTGAGTTCTGACTAAAAATTTGCACTGGCTGAAAAATAGATTCTGCACTTATTATCTAATAAGTAATATTCTTTTTTTATTATGCATTCCTCTGAAGATTGAAGGGGACAGAGACTCAGATGCAGTTTTCTATGACGTCGCAGCGACCATCGACAGGGAACTCTTCAGGCCACGAACAGGAGAGGGCAGCAGGGAGCCAGGTGAGATTGTCCGTGCAGAATATTCAAAAACATATATCATCAACATCGGACACCATTGTATGAGCCGTTTGTTAATTAACGTTTGAAATTGAAATAACTTCTGGTATTTGCCACAACTTTTCATTTTTTTATGGTCTTGATCTCATCGTTTAATATTTTGCTTTAAAAAGGTTCTCCATTGAAGGTCACCTCCCCTCTTCCACCTATCAGAAGATCACCCACCCCTCCTCAGGTAAGTCTGACTCAGCATTCTGAATCTCATATTTCAGGCAGGGGAAATATTTCTTTTTGTAATTAAGCTTTTATATGAAATTGCTACAAGTAGGAGTTTTGTGTTTGAAATTCATGGTCAATTTCAAAACATTTCAAAACTTCTAACACATTTATTTAGCAGTTTAAACTTTTATCGGTGTCAAATCAATGATGAATGGAAGAATAGGTTTTAATGTTTTACTTGACTTTTTGTTTATGAAGCCCAAAAGATTAAAACCAAAGAAAAGACTCATTGACAAGTAAAACACAAAGTCAAGACCAATGCTGAGAATACCACCTCCAATGCTCAATCTGTCACCTGAGACATCCTACTCCAGATCTTTAAGTGCCTGTTAAATTCCCAAGTGGGCCCTTGATATAGAATGGCAGCACCAAATTGGGGCCTAACAAACTGTAAAGCTAAACAGAGTGCACAGTATGTTTTGTCAATTTGTCTTTCTGTGCTTTATGTCCAGATCAGGCTGTGTCAGGCACTTTTCCTGTCTACATCAGGCCAGCTCTTATCAATTATTCATTAAATCGGCCGCCACCACTGAATGGGGGCGGAGAGGGTGGGCGTAGCATAACATTTAAGGCATCTGTAGTCGTGACTTCGGACAGGGAAGTCTCCCTTTCCTTAAGTACACAGGATAGAGTCAGACTAGTAGCGTGTAAGTACGTAAAGACTTGTGATTGCTAGGCTTGCTTGGTAATTCTGTCTGATCATTTTTTGCTTAAAATGCCACAAAAACATACTGTGCATGTTCATTGGATAGTTTCCTTCAATGCTTAATTGATATCAGTTCTACACAGAGTTTTACACTAATTAAGTAAGCTATTATCATTATTTTGGTCTTTGGTACCATTAATTAGGGGCTTTTCGTTTAATGCTGGAAAGTTTTATAATAATTAGGCTCTAGTGTGAATATTCCTTAAGAATAGGAAGGAAATATTGGAAATTCCTTAAGGACTGATATCTCTGTGGCCTGAAATCCATGCATTCAATTAGTGAATGCCACCACGTGCTCGTATCTTTGATGGAGACTTGATCAACCAAAAATGGCTCCCACTACAATCCCCAGTATGTCACAGCCTATTCTGTGGCGACCTTCTGCAAATTTGAACAGACCGTTGCAGAGAATTTTTAATTAACCCGGCTCTAAAGCAGCAGATTCAAAGTCATCAATCAAAGTAGGAACTTCAAGACTAAATGTGTTTCATTGTAGATGCTCACCAAACCATTGCCAAGATCTGTTTTTGTGCTATCAGTAGGAAATTGCAGTTAAAATCTAATATCATGATACATTGCCAGGTCAAGTTCAAATGAAGCAGAAATCTAAGATTGTTGATCAGTAGCCAGGCTAGCTTGGCTCTTGCTAACATTATGCTTTAATTATAATACGTCACAGCGGCTATAAAGTTAAATTATATTATAAAGACAACATTTGTACTTGTAGTAAATAATCAACCAATTCCAGTGTTACCAAGTTTAAAGCCTTCAAGAAGATCAAAGTCCAGACAAGTCTGTTTGTTTAAGGGGTACGTTTGGTTCAGTATACTTGACCCGACTGCCACGCCCCTAAACTGGAGCTGTCGTCACCCCACTCTCACAGACCCTGCTTGTGGTAATTGCTGTGAATTAAGGCATTTAACCCTACTGCAGATTGTACTGTAACATTTAAGATGTTGAGATGTTATTATGATGTTGATTACAACTCATTTTTGTATATTCATATACAGTGCTAGATAACTGCACTTAGACATTGCTTCATTAAAATGTTGAAAAGTGTGTTCAAATTTTCTAGGGGAACAACCATTTTATGGTATTACTGCCAGAACCTTTGTCAACAAGGGTCTGAGCCCAATTTACATTTTGCTTAATTAGTCTGCAGATATGTATCATTATAATTAAGTAATTAGCATGGTCCAAAACAGTGAATGCAGCTGCTACTAGTATATTTTGATTGTTCACAAATTGCTTTGAAATTAGGCCCCCCTCAGCCTAAATGTTAAGGACCTGTGTGACATGTGATTAGCATCATTATGCCTGATAGCTTGTGCTGTAGCTTAGCAAGTGGATAGATTGAAGGGGAGGTGTCTGATGGGAGATTGCTTTTTCAGGAGCCGAAACCAGTCACCACCCCTCCTGTCGTGAAGCAGCAAGAACCTCTCCCAGCTATCTCAGCAGACATGGCCGGTACGTAACCTTGTCATCTGACCTTGACTGTTTATTAGGGACTGTACAATCAGCTGAGGCCAAGAAAAAAATTGTTTGGCCTGGGGGGAGGGTTAGGAAAATGTGTGTTATGGCCAGCCTTTTGGCATAGCTACAAATTACGATAAACAGAACCCTGCAATCACTCACTCTCAATACATTGTTGTTAATCTTTATGATCATCATATAATACTATACAATACATGTATTTGTCTGAACAAGCACTGCAGGCCAGTTGTTATTAAGTGCCTGTGGCATAACCACGTTCTAAATCCTAAAAAATGTGTGGGACCCCTATTAATAGCACATGAGTCACGTACAATGTATTCCACCAGGTGTGTGGAATACAATTTGATATGTGACCTAAATTTTGAACCCACTTGATTACATCTTGGTCTTTACTAGCATAATGAATACCCGGCAGGCCACATTTGAATTATGTGACCTGCTGCATGTATTTTTATTATTAACTGCCACTTGATTTCATGATTTCACATGAACTCAAGTGGCTCAGCAGCTAACAGAACCTGCCTCAGGCCTGACCTGTTCAAAAGCAGGATATGTTGGGCCTGAGGATTGATTTATAGTTGACCTGGTGGTGTCATGTGGTTGAGGATTACTCTATCAAAACATGGATGATCCTTCAACAAACCCTGCATTCCAGCTGCAGTCCTGGAGTTACAGACATTTAACAGGGTCTATTTTTATCACACTGCAACATGAGAGCAAATCTCAACTTTCATAAATCATATTTTACTCCATAAAAGCTGACAGGGATTTTTGCTCAATGAAGATATTCCCAAAATCTTTTAACATATGCATGTATCAGGGAAATGATGGAAATGTTACTTGACCAGATCCTTCATGTTGAAACCAAAACAAACTGAAATTCTATATCTTTTTAGCAACATTCCAGCTGACAAACATTCTGCTTGTGCATTGAACATTTAACATTTAACACTGTTTTCCCCCATGCCATCTTATGTTCTTATGAAATAAAGACTGAGCTTATGTTCTTGTGTTGCACTGCCACTTAATGATATGCATATGAAGCTGGTATAAAAATTCTATTTAAAAAAAAATGTTTGTAAATGATACTAGTAATTGCAACAGCAATGCTGCATGCATGTATAATTACATAATGATATTTTGCCATCTTTTTTGCAAACATTGGCCATTGTACTAAGCTTGCATGGTTCATTTTGCCACCCCACCCCTCCCAATCCCCCATCCCTTGCATTTAACAGCAACCTTGTCAGAAATGCTTGATGAACACCTGACGCCATCAGAGGTGATAGATGAACCTCTGGTGGAAAAAGTAAATGTGGAAGAAGTCGGTCCCGGCGCCGTCCCGCCTGCCAGTCTAGTGTACGGTTATGACCCAGGTACAGCACAGAGAGTGAAACAACCGACCCTGTCCTATCCTAACCTGTTCTTTACAACCCTGTGCACTTTCAAAGTCACAATTCCTGATAACTGTGCACATTAACTTAAATCACTGTGTTTTTGTGGACACCTAACATCAAAGTTCCAATTTCTTGTCTGCTGTTTTCTTGTGAGGGTGACTCTCATTTCTTTCTGGACATGTTTTTTCTTTCAGTTCTACAGTGGTGTGTCCTATATTCAACTTACCATGTATGACTGTTTAATCCTACATCTATGAAGTATTCAATCATATTTTCCTTCATTGGTTACGTGATACAGCCTCTTTCCCAAATATTTTACTCAATAAGGTCATCCTTATCAGACAAGATGTCTTTTTGAAATACCCGCACATCCTCTGGTATGGCAAAAGTTTTAAGTATTTGTATTATCAGGCATTCAAGAAGAAGTGATGGCTACACTTGATCATGTGCTGGCCATGGCTTCTGTTTTGAGTTAAGAATTCAGAAATGTGAAGAAAACAAAAAGTGAGACATTAAAGTGTAAGAAAAGTGGAAGAAGAAAAGACATGATACACTCAAAGAACTTGACACTTTGAGTGGACTAGCTTACATCACCCCGCCCCCCCCCTAATTTTTACATCAACCATTTACTTATCAAAGACTAATAAACTGATTGATTTGGTTATTTTCCCTTATTGCAGACAAACTGAAGGACAAGAAAGTAATCTTTGTTGTGGGCGGTCCTGGCTGTGGGAAAGGTACGCAGTGTGAGCGGATCGTGGCCAAGTACGGCTACACCCACCTGTCCTCAGGTGACCTCCTGAGGGACGAGGTCAAGTCAGGGTCAGAACGGGGCAAGAAACTGACGGAGATCATGGAGCAGGGGAAGCTGGTGCCCATGGTGAGGAGTCTCTGCATTTAAAAAATTTTTTTCCCTCAGATTGTTTGTTAATTCTTCAAAATCAGTCTTCAGCAAGTGCCAATCTGTGTTAACTCTGAAAGTTGAGGCAGCACTCTAATGTGATATGTTTGTCCTGTTTATGCAGGAAACTGTGCTGGAGTTGTTGAGGGATGCCATGATTGCCAAGGCTGACACGTCCAATGGCTTCCTGATCGACGGCTATCCCAGAGAAGTCATCCAAGGAACAGAGTTTGAATCCAACGTAGGTCAAACCCTGTAACTTCATCATCAAAAGCAGTTATCTGTTAAAATAGATTATTCATCTTCACTGGTGATAAAAAGAAAATACATAATTAGACTTCTTCTTTTCTATTTTCTAGATCAAGGAGTGTGACTGTGTCCTGTACTTTGAGTGTTCGGCTGAAACGATGACTGAACGTCTCCTTGGACGTGCAAAGACCAGCGGCAGGGTGGACGATAACGAGGAGACCATCAAGAAGCGGCTGGACACCTTCTACTCGGCCACGGAACCTGTGGTCAGCCACTACGAAGAAAAGGGAAAACTGAGAAAGGTCAGTACACTGGATGCTGCAGTTTAACTGTGCATCAGAAGATTCTTACTCTGGGTTAAGTGTGGGATTTGCTTGAGGGAAGCAATAAGATTGCAACAGAACTTGAAGACGGTTTTTCTTAAATGTGATTCTAATATTCACTCTCAGATCAATGCAGAACGTGAAGTGGAGGCCATCTTTGCTGATGTCTGTGCTGCTCTAGGTATGTAAAAGTTCTCCATTTTCTGGTAGTGTCTATCTGTTCAGCAGCTGATACACAGCCACGTATATACTAGTATGCAGATATGGAACACAAATGTAGTTACTGTAGGAAATTAGAAACATACACTTAACTTACTAGCTAGCCACTAGAATAGACAACACAGTTTAGGGTTCTGTACTCCCTATCTTGACACTTATCTCTTGTTGATGATCGTTCAGATCATAGTCTTTCTCCACATGTTCACACTATCACAACAATTTCTATCTATATTTCCAACAATTACCTGTACATGTGACTGTCCGTGGATCCTGACTTCTATCCCTGCTCTCCCTGTCTGTGTGTCTTCTCAGGTTGAACAGTGCCTGCAGTCACCCTGAAGACAAGATGTCAGGACTGTTAACAATTCTGGTCAAACTCTACAGTGTTACTGCTAGGTAAATATGTTATGGCAGATTAGCAAGGAAAATGCTTCCTTTATTTGTAGATAGAAACAGTTTTAGCTTCAGCCTATGAAACTTTTAGCTATGCATTTGGAACACAGTAAACAACATACCGTACTTGTTTCTTAATGATCCTACCGAATCAGTATTCTTTTTACTAAGCGTATATGATTACTTTTACCATTTGCAATCATGATGTACAGCAAAGTCAATGGGCAGTAATTTTATGATCATGGCTTTTAGTTGTCATCAATCATGTATATAGAAAAGATAGAGGAGACAGTAAATTGACAGTCCAAACAGTTTAGCTAAAATAAATCATGTATTGTGATTAGGTCCTGCTACAGATATGATATGTAGGTAAGCTGGATTCGGTCCATGCACATATATTAAAATTTGAAGAATACCCTGTAAAATTACATATAATATTCTCACAAAATATTGTGACATAATCTTTTGGTCTGACATAGTGTGGGGCCAAGTTTAAGCCAGTGACCACATTTTTAAACCTGTGGATGTCAGAGCTATGGAGCCCAACATTACACATTGTGCAATCTCTCTGCTGTCATTTGCTCTTGAACTGTCCCTTTTGTACAATATTGCTAAATACTCAATACCAATAAAGTGTGTGAGATCTTTCTGTATGCTCTCAGCTGTCTCTTTGTGCAGTTCTGTCATGGTGAAGGTTCAAACTTATCAACACACGGCAATGAACAAGCAACACCACATGCATCACAGGAAACAGTGAGGGGGCGGTTACCAACAGGACAATTGAGATATTAGATATTAGCCTTTAAGACTTCTTCAAACATATTCCATTGTAGATATTCTGAACTTGAGTACATTGAGTATCAGAGATCAGACTATCTTCATAGCACAATTGACTGGGATAAGGGAATGCTAGGTAAATGCAGTAATAGACTAACAAAGAATATTGAAGCTTCATGTTAAAGGTTTCAGTACCTTGTAGGATTGTAGCCATGAATGTATATTTGCATGAAACATTCTTAGACGGGAAAGAAGAAGTCATAGAAGCTGAAGGAGGCAAAGAAGATGCTCTGCAGGGGAAGAAGGTTATCTTTGTTGTGGGCGGTCCTGGCTGTGGGAAAGGTACGCAGTGTGAGCGGATCGTGGCCAAGTACGGCTACACCCACCTGTCCTCAGGTGACCTCCTGAGGGACGAGGTCAAGTCAGGGTCAGAACGGGGCAAGAAACTGACGGAGATCATGGAGAAAGGAGAGCTGGTACCCATGGTGAGGATTTGTTACTTGTAACTATTTGACAGTAGATTTGAAGTCACACATAACAGTCTTTCTTGGGGAAACTTTCACAAGTAGAACGATTGATAGAATTCTCAATGCAGCACATCGCAAGTTGCTGTAACAAGTTAATAGTTCTAGACACACATCTTTGTATACTCGTAGGGTGCAGAATTTTGTTTGTATTATCTGGTTGCTAGAAAACCTGACAGGTATTACATATGTACCACATTCCTGACATTGTTGTTCCTCCAGTCTGTAGTGCTGGACCTGCTGAAGGAAGTCATGCTGAAGAAGGCGGGGGAGTCTCAGGGCTTCCTGATCGACGGCTACCCCCGGGAGGTGCAGCAGGGCGTGGAGTTTGAGGAAAAGGTGACTGGACGTTTGCTCAACAGATAAACATCATGCTGTTTCCTCTGCATTGTCTCTGCATAGAAGTTATGTCTACCACTGTAGACACAGACAAATCAGATATCAGGAATGGTACAGTGAACCATTTCAGCATGTGATAAAGCAGTGTTGTTGCTTTCTCTGATGTCTGTCCTTGGTGCTGAAATGGGCTTTTATAGATGTATTTCTTGTCTTTGTCAGTAACGTTAGGATGCCATCATGTCATTTTGTCAGATGTCAGGAATGGTACAGTAAACCATTTCAGCACCAAGGACAAAGATAACAGTCAACAGCAACTGTTATGGTTAAGTGTTATCTCTGTCCCTGCCCTTGGTGCTGAAGTGGTTTCTTTCTTTTTAGTCTGTGCTACAGAAGCACTACCATAGGGTGTTTTTCTTTCATTCCATAACATTTCGTTTCCTCTCTGTAGATTGCGTCATGCGACTGTGTTCTGTACTTTGAATGTTCGGATGAAACGATGACGGAACGTCTACTTGGACGTGCCAAGACCAGCGGCAGGGTTGACGACAATGAAGAGACAATCAAGAAACGACTCACGACCTTCCACAATGCAACAGAACCAGTTGTAGATTACTATGATGACAAGAAGAAGCTTGCAAAGGTGGGCTTTGCTGTAAAATGTGTTATATCTATGTGTCATGTGTAACAATATAACCAACAACATCATCAATGATTTTATGAGGAATGAAAGTTGACAGATTTCTACTACTGTTGTCACAAAATTAAACACTGGACCTGTTATCTTGATTTTAAAATCAACAATTTTGTTTGTACTATTTGATGGTCTTTTATGTTTTGTTTGATCTGATTTAACGCTTTGTTTTCAGATAAGTGCAGAGAGACCACCAGATGAAGTCTTTACAGATGTCTGCAAAGTTCTAGGTGAGAGATAGTCCTGCAAGGACTCTACAGTTGAAGTGCATCTCTGACTGCCCTTTGTTTGTCTTGTTGTAACATCCTTACTATCTCATTTAAGTTGAACCCTTTCCTTCAGATACATTCTCCTTCAAACCAGTTAAAGTGTATCCCTCAGCCAAATGGTACCCACAAAAGTAGTGCAAGTTAGAGTGACATAATTGTAAAGGAAGTGTATTTTTAGATACTGTGTGATAAATTATAGATATTTTTAGATACTGAATAATAATTGTAAGCAGAAACAAAAAAAATGTAATAACATAAGCCCATAATTAACTATGCAATGTTCTGAATAAAATCATCTGAATTTCAAGAATATTAAATGTATTACTCTGTTGGTAAAAGGGCACCTGTTGGTCATATTTAGGAGTTATTTTTTGACTATCTACTATTTACCATGCAGTAGAGAATCTTATAATTAGAAGTAAGCTTTGACCCTCATAACAGCTGCACAGTTACAACTGAGGATAATAATTTCTCCTTTTATTTACAGTTTTGAAGAATTTATTTTGTTGTTCTAACTTACTACCAGTACATTTTGTTTCACTCATGAGCATTTTTTTATTTTAATGATTTAAATATGCACTTACCATGACAATAAAGCACCTTCTTGCTATAATAAAAGTGTGTTTTTGTTTTCCTTTTCTCTCTCTTGGTCTTTTTGGTTTGGTTTGCTGTGAATAGTTTCTTCGTAGCTGTATTTTGAATGTTGATACAAAAGTCATCTAAAATGCCTCTCAAATAGTTGAAATAATAAGATCCACGAATGTAAGTCTCTCTAAACTGAAGTATATGGAAATAATTTTTGGCTTGACACCTTGGTGTAAGTTAAACTTATCCTTGTACATGTAACCTCACCAATATAATAGCCATGAATTCCTTGCTGCACCTCCATCATACATGTGACTACAGTGATTTACTTATCAAATTATAGTCAACAATGTTGGGATTGCAGTCATATTTCCCAATAGATTCTGAAATATAACACCCAAAGTGTAAAACAGTGTAATTTCTTTATTCAATGCCTGTCCTTAGTGCTGAAATTGTGATAAAACAGTGTTATTGCTTTCTCTGGTGTCTGTCCTTGGTGCTGAAATGGGTTCTTATGGATGTATTTCTCATTAGGGGGGCATTATGTCTCATTTTTCCACCTTTGATGATGTTTTTCCTTTCCTCAAGTGTCCTTTATCCAAAGTTCTTAATTTTTTTTTTCTATACAGAGGCTGTCCTTTCAACCAGTGCAATTTGTAAAGGGTTCTTTGGATACTTAATGTACATTCTACCCCCTAGTGTTTTCCTTGTCTCTGTACCTGAAATGCTTTCTATAGTACAGTCTACATTTTTTACCACCTAGATGGTAAAGAGGGACCAAAGTTCAAGGGTTCAAAGGTGATCTTGGTGTGTGGTGGCCCGGGGAGCGGGAAGGGAACCCAGTGCCAGCGGGTTGCCGTCAAGTACGGGCTGACTCACCTGGCCATGCACGACCTCATCCACACCGAGGTCCAGTCAGGGTCGGAGAGGGGGCAGCTTCTGGCTGAGGCCATCAAGAAGGGAGAACTACAGGCTGTGTATGCTGTAAGTTATGGTCTCATTCATGTATTACTCCGAGTGTACCCCCTAAAAGAGTACCAAGTCAAAAACTAAACGGCTGTATGAACGAGTGTTTTTATTGGTGAGAATTTCCCCTTTAGCCATCCCAACTGATGTAAAACGTCAAAGCGGTGAAAGCTTGTTTGTAACTGATGAAATTATGACATAATTGTCGGCAGCCGCGCGCTAGGTCGGACGTGCACAGTCCAGTGTTGTGAGTTGTGCGGTCGTAAGTTTGCAGCGCGGGAGGGCCTCTTGCGGGCAGCTGCTAGTTGCAGTTTGTAATTCCCATAAAAGGCGATTGTGTGTATAGAAGTCGTTGGCAATTTTTTTATGAGACGTAGAGTAAGTGTGCTCAACATAGCATGAAAGATATCAAATGATTTAATGTAGGATCATAGGGAACACGGTCTCGTAAGTCACTCATTAATGCATTGTTTCTAATGTATGGAAAAAACTCATGAATGAGACCTTATTTGTTGGCCTAGTTTATCTTTCAAAATTAACCATTCAGGAGGTGTGCACGGCTGCTCTAATGGTCTTTTGTAAAATTTTTGTAAAGGACTCATTTGAATCCAAGTTGCCTGTCACAGTAGGAAATTTGACAATGGTTGTTTAAGATCACTTCATTATGGTCAAACCATAATGTTACATGTACTTGCACAAACTATATAAAAGGGCATTTTTGGTTTTGTCTCATACAGACCACAGTGCATGAGCTGCTGAGTGAAGCTATAGGAAAGTTTGATGGCAAGACGCAGGGTTTCATCATCGATGGTTACCTTGGCAGTGCAGAGGAGGTGGCAGACTTTGAAAACAAGGTACAGACTTGTCGTCACATACTTTGGGAAGTATATGTTCATTGTTATTGTTTGGTTGTATTTTGGAACTTTGATTTCCTTTCTCACCCTCAGGTAGCAGAGCTGTCCTGTGCCCTGTGTTTTGAGTGTTCTGATGATGTCATGGTCCAGAGGTCGCTGAAGAGAGGTGAGGGCAGTGGCAGCCCTGAGGATGAAGAGGAGGCTGTGAAACGCAGAGTGGAGAAGTTCCACAGCATGGAGGAGCCAGTTCTGCAGGCACTGGAAGGGAGGGGCAAGGCAAGGAAGGTGGGGCTTGCTGTCTTAATGTTTATCACATTTTGTTCACTCCATATCATATTGATATTTCAGTAACATCTGCACCAAAGACTAAACTTTCTAGTTACAATCATTTGGAATGGCTTCAGGATGAACACAAAACAGACTAAAAAGCAAACATGACATGGAAGTTCACAAGATGGCAGGCTAAAACATAGAAGCTTTCGCAATTTGTACATCCTCCTGATTTTGGAAGCCAACAGATGAATTCTTTTTACATGTAGACTGTAATGTTAGTAGTACTAGTATCTTCAAAATAGTACCCATTGTCAAAATGCTATGTACTAAGGTAAATTTACTCCAGATCTGTAGAGAATTTAATTCCTCTGCATTCCTCTTTAATCACTATTTTGTATAAATTAATCTTCTGTGTCTTCTCTGCCCCAGATTGCTGCAGGGAGCAGTGAGGATGAGGTGTTTGCAGAGGTGTGCACAGTCCTGCAGGGGGAGGGGGTAGAGCCTGTCAGTTCACTCCAGGGGGCTGCAGACACAGGGGCTACCCAGGAGGGGGCAGGGGAGGACAAGAAAACACCTGTCTTCACCTTCATCAATGGTGGGGATTTTTCTGAATTTATTTATTTGTTTATGATATGTTAAAAGATGGATTAAGGAAGATGCCATATGTATACTAAAGATCACCTAGTACTTACTTACTCCTCTTCATCTCTTGCCAGACATAAGACTATGACTTTTTTTTCTATGACAAGTGAATTAGTCTAGTCTTTCTGTTTGAGAAAATTTTTATCTGCAAAGTGCTTGAATAATAAATAATAAAGACACTTGCTTTACCAGTAGTTGCTGAACTCAGAGAGACATCAGTAAGTATCAATCACCATTAGTAACATCTGCTATTTCATGTTTCTTGCAGGTGGACCAGGAACAGGGAAGAAGGCCATTGCTGAAACCCTCGCGTATGAGACTGGAAGAGGCTACATTTCTGTGGGGGACGTTCTGAGAGCGGAGATGGAATCTGAGCCTGAGGTGGCAGAGGCTATCAATGGTAATGTTTCAGAAATACCAGTCATCACTATTTTTAACCTTCTCCCTGCTGCCTACCTCCATAACCAATACAAATTATCTGCCAACTGGCTAGCTGATCAGATTGAAGGTTATAGTAATTATTTTGGATAGAGAAAGTCAAATGAAAATTGCATACAGCATTATTTTTGCTCTATACTCATATGAGGATACCAGTATGAAAGAAGCAAATGCAACAATTTTAAGACACAATAAATATATTGGTACACTCATTTTTTGATTTAGAATGCCTAGTATATATTGTACTTTAAATGTTGACAAAAACACATGATTAATAGCTTTTTTGTTCCTTTGTTGCCAGCTGGTACATCTGTGACATGGAAGACTGTGATAAACCTTGTGAAGAAGCAGATCCAGTCCAGAGAGGACTGTTCTGCAGGCTGTGTGGTGGGGGGGTTACCCAGGACAGCAGAACAGTATGACGGCTTCATCAGAGAGGTGTGTTTTAACATCCCAGAAAAGGACTTGTTTTCTTATTTTCAGGCATTAAATACTTTTCACTTGCAAGTACCAACTGCCTGGTCCTTCCTATTTAGACCACATTTGTACTACACTAAAGAAAGAGACAGCTTTCAATCTGAAATGAAAGACAATATAAGAAAGATTTTACAAATTTCCAAGTGTCTTTCCAAGTTTAAAGGAACCTGTGCCATACAATACTTAAAGTGATCAGTATTATACAGACATGTACTTAATAGTTTATTTTTATTGACAACAATCCTTGTACATGGCAGCGTTTAAACCGCTGAATTGCGTACACAGGTTTAAAAACAATTAAACAATAAGGTGGGCTAAACAAACAAAGGACATTGACAAACTAGGTACAAACAACTTAAACATATACTAGCTGTACGCAGTTATAAATTAGATATATAAGTGATTAAGAACAATATTGATCCGGTACTGGGAGATTTCAACCTAGGTCTGCTTGTTTATTTAACAAATCAGTGAAATAGGGGATTGGGCTCGTTTTGTACCGCTTTGTTTTCGTCAAAGGGATGTCGAGTTGGTTTGCCCCCTTCAGGCATCTGCCATGGATGTCTGAGCGGGATGGGGGTAACCAATGTCGGAACGAAGGGGAGTTAAGGAGGGACTTTGCAAACTTAAGGCTAAGGGTTTCTCTTCTTTTCTCTAGGGACGGCAAACATAATTGGGACAGGGCGATGTTGTAAGACGTGTACAGGGGGCCAAGGATTATCTTTACTGCTCGTTTTTGTATGCGTTCGATTTTTATTACTTGATGTACAGAGATACTTGAATTCCAGACTGGGGCCGCATATTCAAGGGTCGGGCGTATGTATCCTTGGTAGAAATCGCAAAGGTCTTGAACAGGGAGTCCGGAATGTTTCAGTTTCTTCAGCCAGAAAAGACGTGAGCTCCCCTTCTTTGTTATAATTTCAATATGTTTGTCCCATTTCAGGTCCACCGAGAGCCATAAACCGAGAATACAGGCGGATTCGGTATCTATAAGGGGCTTATTATGAAGTGTTATATTAGGGGGTGGGGGGCAGTCTCTCATAAAGGAAAAGGTCATGAGCATACACTTCTCGTCATTTAGCTTCATGTCATTATTAATTTCCCAAGAGTCGAGTCGGTCCATAGATGATTGAATTAGGCTCTCTTCACAGAAAAGTCTGCTCTCGCATAACGACAGGTCATCTACGTATTTATAACGATTTAGAATGTCATCTTGTAAGGCGTCATTGACATATATAAGAAAAAGAATCGGTCCCAATTTAGTGCCTTGAGGCACTCCAGATGAGATTCCAGAGAGTGATTAGTGATTAGTAGTACCGATATACAATACTTAGCAACAATTATGATTATATCATTATATTATAATATTATAAGAATCACAGTTTGGTTTCAGAAGTGGCAGGGGAATGGTAGACGCCATATTTGTGGTAAGACAAATCTTAGAAAAGGCAAGAGAAAGACAGGTTAACCTGCACTTCCACTTCATCGACTTTAAATCCGCGTTTGACACTGTCTGGAGAAAAGCGTTGTGGAAGATGATGAGAGCAATAGGTGTGGACGCGAAGATAGTCAACATAGTGGAAGAGATGTACAAGAACACCCAATGTGCAATAACTGTTAACAATCAGATCACAAAATGGTTTGAAGTCTGTGTAGGTGTCAGACAGGGATGCCTCATGTCCCCAGTGCTTTTTAACATATTCCTGGAATTCGTAATGGATGAGCTTAAGAGCCTGGATAAGACCTTCCAACTACATGATGAGCTTTCAATGGAGGAAAGATACGCAGATGATACTACACTTATTGCTGCAATCTTTGAGAAACTACAGTTGTCAACCCAGGAGCTAGAGTTTGCTTGCAAAAAATGGGGGCTGAAAGTTAACGCGGCTAAGTGCAAAGTCATTTCCCCTGAGTTAGACGAGGATGTAAGCATAGAGGGTTCCACGGTTGAAAAAGTTCAAGTATTTTGTATTTTTAGGAAGTGTTATTCCTGGTACAACAAGCGATGTCAAGAGGCGAGTTGCCCTTGCTGCTTCTGCCTTTGGCAGACTCAGGAAAACAGTTTGGAATAGGTCTGATGTCAGTAGGCACCTCAAAACCCGTCTGTTACATGCCCTCATTTTCCCAATAGCAACTTATGCTTGTGAGACATGGACATTGAAAAAAAGTGATGAACAACTCCTATTGGCTTTTGAAATGAGATGCCTGCGGGCTATCCTGAATGTCTCATGGAGAGACCACATCAGAAATGAGGAAATCCGAGCCATGCTGGGAATGGAAAATACCATAATCGACAATATTCGTAAAAGAAGGCTGAGGTGGTTTGGTCACGTTCAGAGGAGACCCCCAGACTCTTTGGTGTATGGGGCCTACCATCAGGATTTCACAAACCCCAGACCTAGAGGTAGACCCCCTAAAAGATGGCGGGACCAGATAGTACAGGACACGGGGTGGTCCCTCAAGTACGCTGAACGAAAGGCTAAGGACCGTGATGCCTGGCGGGAAAAAATGAAGAGGAGCAAGGGGCCAGACCTGGCCTAAGCATTTAGGCAAGTAGGCAGGCATTATAATATTATAAAACTTCTGACGTAAGCTTTCCTCCACCCCCAGATTGGACCAGTGGATGCTGTAGTTTTCCTGATGGCCCCAGAGGAAGTTCTGAAGGAGAATCTGGAGGGGAAACCTGAGGAGATGCGCCGTCCTGATGATATGGAGGAGGTGCTGAAGGTTCGCCTACAGACATATGGAGAGGAGTCAGGAAAGGTGTTGGGTTACCTGAAGGAACATGGACAGGCTTCAGAGGTAGGTCTTGAGTGTTAATAGATTCATGATGTCTTCCACACTAAGCGTGTAATGTACCTACTCACTCTGCATCAAAAAAGTTCTGATGCGTGATGCAAAAAGTATTAATCAGTCATTTTTGTTTTATGATTCCTTTGAAGTTTTAAGTGGTCAATCCTTGTGCGTTCTAAAAAATTGTCCATCAAAAGTAGATACAAGTATTACTTTAAGTTTCTTTTTTCAACTTTCTTTCATTCAAAAGTCATGCCTTTCGTTTGTAAGGAGACTTTCAAGCTTCAAGTGACCAGATGTAGATATGACATAGATTGATTTTGAAATCCATGCTTTTGCTTAGGTATCATGGGAAGCGACCATGGAGGCTGTTCTACAGAATGTACGAGACGTGTACAACAAGCAGACCGGGAAAACACAAGACTCGTAAGTCTCAGAGACATCAGCAGCATTCAAGATCACAGGCATTCCTAGCAGTAACTTAGTCAATGTCTGAACCCCATCTGTGTGTTACTACATGAACATTTTATGAATTTGTAACAACCCCTCGTGGCAGCTGCAACACATATAAACACAGTAAAAAGACATTCCAAGTAAAAGTTAAAAAGAGGAAAGTCAGGGAACAGTTCAAACTATAATTATGTATCAGAATCCTTTTATCATTTTCAAAATTCTGAACCATCACTTACTTTTATATGGGAGGCTCATATATGCAGATTGTTGTTATTCTTTTGTCCATAGAACTGAGAACAATGCAGCTGTCAAATGTACATTGACTGTGTCTTCCAGAATATCCAAGTCAGAAATATATCTAAGACACTTTGCTTGTATTTTAGGGATTTGGATCAGATGAGGCTTTTAATTTTAATAAGAACAATCACATGTAGTCATGAATATTGTCCTATCAGATCAACTAATGTAAGATTATCTAGAAATGGAAATCCTGGATTTTATGATATTTTGACTGGATGCTAAATTTGTAGAGTTTTATTTATTTTTTCAGACATTGTCAAGCTTGAAATAGAACAAAATCTAAAACTATTCAAAACAAATTTATCAAAATCAGGGGAACTTTCCATTTCCATTGAAAAATTTCTTCTTTAAAAAATCAATGAAATTTGTGCCATGTGAGATTATGAGGTGGTAAAAGAATCTGATTTTGTGCAATTTTTGTGAGATTTGCCAGATATTAGGAAAACTAACTTTGTACAGAGATATCATAGTGATGGTCCAGACAGTGCTCTGAAACATGGGACATACATGCCAAAAATGGGAATTCTTCTGCTTTTCATAAGTTAAGAATTCATAAAATTTGCGAGAACGTATTATTGTATGGTTGTGGATGCAGTTATATGCATTAATTTTACGTTTGAGTTGTCAACACAACATTAAACAGCAAGCAAGATATTTTCAGCCAAGAAACACCATGTTGTCTATATAAGCAGTGTGTCTTCCATGTAACAATCACATGGTTATCCAAAGAGCTTAAGCTTTTAATATCTTTCAATATAATCACATCAGGAAGTTTTAGAACACTGTACATATGTGGTTGTGTATATATGAGGTGTGTGGATTCAGAGTTTTTATCTTCTGTAAGAAGGAAAACTATTTTACGAGATATTATACCAGAGATATCAGAGATAATTTGTAGAATTCTAGGTGTGGATTTTTTTCAAGTTAGGTAGGAGTAAATATAGGTTATACTATGCAAGATTTCCTTATCTACCATGCAATGGATTGTAGTGTTTTGAAGTGACTTTGTCATAAAATCAAAAGCTTACTTGACACAGTGTGTTCCTTGTCATCATTGTCTGTTTTCTACTAGTATTTAAGATTTAATACAGTATGCTACAAAGCAATTAACATTATTATTGTTTTCAATATCAGTGACATTTCTTAAGCGACCAAACTATAAATCCAACAAAGAAGCTGCAAAATGATCAAATATGTTTTGCTTTATAATTACTGTTATAATTATTAACAGAATACAAAGTTAATAGGTTTTGTGTACATTGAAATGGCAGAAATATTGACAAAAAAGCTCTGTATTCAGCCGCTCGTAAAAGCCCTTCAGAGAATATTTGTCTCAAAATGATAATGCCCAAGACTGAAACGGTTCTTTGTCGATAAATTCGTGATATCTAGGTACTCGGGGTAAGCCTCAATGTCAAGAACAAGAGCTGGAAAGAGCTGGAGTAAAAACCCCATAAGAGCCCATCGCGTTTCCCAACTCGCCAAATGACTAAATCTGGGAATGAGCGAGGCTTCTTTAGCGAGGTACGGCCTTTTTCGGAACGGCACCTCTAAAACGGGGGTGTGATAGGGGATGAATATCCACTTTTTCAATTTTAGAAAAATGAAACTTTTGACTTTTTTCTGCCCCCTTCTTTTAAGAGTATACTCCTTATGGGCTATATTCTATTCCTATTCAATATCGGTCATCAAATTTGCTTCATTCTCGAGTTATACGTCAAAACGTGATTTTGCGATCAGCTGATCCATTGCAGAAGTGGTCAAAACCTTTGCAGAGTGAACGTTTTCGCCGTCTATCTCATTACCATATGAATGGAAACCAAGCAGATGTCAGACGTATACTATGGCAATCCCCAAGAAAGTTACGATATTGCTTCCCACATTTTTTTTAGCTTTCATTCATATGGTGATGTAATCGAGCGTGATAAGTTCACTACTAACTTTTATCACAATCTTCCATCACAATCAGGTCTCCTCCACTGTATTTTTCTAAAACTTTATTCTATGTTGTATGACGCTCAACCATGGAGGTAGAAAAACCTCCTTGGTTCAACCAACTTGACACCGCTTCAAGTGTATTCAGTATGAGCTCTCCCAGTCGGCAACAGGTAGGAGTTTTGTGCGATGAGAGTTAATAACGTAAACGGCGCAAAACTTCTATTGAGTGAATGCATAGATTAAAGCCGGGAAGTGGAGAGCCAGCCTGGGCACCATCCTCCGTGTGTAAGAGTAATCAAATGCATGGATCAAAAGCGACCTCTAGCAGGTCACTGTAGAACTGGACCACAATAAGCAGCCCTATTACTGCAGTGATTTTTTTCGCCGCAGCGGGGCGTTTTTGATACATGCCGATCATACGTATTTCGGTACCGATTTTTGCCTATTTCAGCACTAAATGCCTCAAACGGTCAGTTTACCGACAGGATGTACTTAGAAATGCCGGAAGACGATAAGATGGAAAGCTCCAGGAGTTTCGGCCAGAAACAACAGTGAGTCGGAATAAGAATTTGATATATTAGTACTGTATTGTAGCTATGAATAAAACGAAACATACATGTGAGTATACCCTAGTTTTCTCAGTATCATTGGCCCTTTCTCTGCTGAATGCTGCGGCACCATGATAAATATTTCTTCCCCTTTCATCAAAGACGAATTAAGATGAAGCCTAAACTGTATGGTAAACATCCTTTTATTACAAAACTTAACAAAAGTGCTATCAACTAGATAAGGCATCTGTGATACAGATCTTTGACATTTCTTCCACAGAAAAATACCTAGCTTTTTGTCCTTTCCACCACATGGTGTTTCATATACAGGTACAATCAAACTTAGGGATAAGAAAGTATGAAACAAGCTAATATGCTACAATAATAAAGAAACAAAGTTACAGCAAAAGTTGTTTTCTCATGTTTTGTCTCCCCTGGTATACCATACATGTAGTGTAGAATGTGTTACTCAGCATACATTCTGCACACTTGATATTTAGATAACAGTTCCTAATTGACAGGTGAAAGTACACATGCCTTAGTGCCACCTTCAGTCAGAAATAAAGTAATGTTACATGCAGCGAGCTATGACTTTCAAACTACCCTCTGTGCATGAAAAAAAAAGTTACTATACTTTCGACCATTACCTATGGTTAAACATACCTTTCACTACCATAAACAAATCAATCAAAAATAGATGTAACAAAATTGTTAACCTGTTGTTTTCTTGGCAACATTTCCTGTACCTTTTCAGTGTGCATCTTGAAGTTCTGGCATTAATTAACATTACCCGTAGCTGTGCTTTAACTAAACAGTGAATGAATTCTTTACTTTTGCCTTAGAGCAAAAATCATCAGCCCTCTAATGGTGACTCTCAGTTTCTTATTCTGGCCAAAAATATATCTCTTACTTCTTGAGGGACACATATACATATCTCTTACTTATTGAGGGACATAAGCTGGTGTGTTACGCCAAAGGGCGGCTATATCAATAAAGATTTCCAAATGAATGTATCATGTAATGTTTACATTTCTGTGTGAGGAAGACAACCAGTATTCTGCAGCTTCTGACCAGTTATAAAAATACACAGTCCATTTTTGTAATCTATTCTTGGCTTCTCTTTTTTTGTGGCTCATTGTTAAGATTATAACATAAGATAACATAACATAACGCAACTTAAATGCTTAACTGTTAATAGGGTTACATTAACAATGATTGATAGCTAACTTACATGAAAAGCTCTGTACTAGATAATCCTAACAAAAAGTAACAAAAAATGGTTAGATACTTATTGTCAAGGCACAGTTAATCATGTTACTTGTTAATCATAACTCAAGAAATATCTCAACTACATGATACAAGTTAGTATGAACTGATAGAAAAATAGTATATACATGATGGCTTGTTCATAAAGATACAAAGCAATCAGTAGCTGCATTTCTAACTGAGTTTAAAATTACGTTAACCTGTTACAACAAAATAGACTGCCATCACTGCCTGAAGACCATCTTATAACTACAGCATGGCTGCACTTGCACTCATGCTTCAAACATAACTTTGGGAACTGACCACTACAGTAGCAGACTGGTATGAGACAATGTTCTACTTCCACGTGGAAGGGTTAGGTGCACACTGGCATCAATGTTTCTTTACAATATGGCTGAAAATCCCATCCACTTATAAGTACAAAAATCACAGTATCTTCCTTGTTTTTCCACCTTATAAATGATACAATATAAGTTACTACTCTTCAGAATGTCAACTTGTGGATCCACCAGGGAACACTTCCTAACATTACTCTCTTTCTGGAAAAATACTTTCAGAGTCCTCCAGGGAAAGAAAAATGGTTCTATCCACAATCCACAGTTTCACAAATCTCAATGTGTTGATTGTTTAACAAGTTTGACATGATCTCATCAGTGTATTCTTATCTTAGAGGAATGGTTCAAAATGCATTCTAAGCACCAGGTGCTCTTTGCATATTAATACTAACAGTTTGGCACATGTAGAGATATCAACAGTTCAACTGCTTTTCGTATCAAGAAAACAACGGCCTTTCTGATTCAAGCACCACCTGAAGGTTCCCTAGCCTTGAGTGTCCTAGCTTTAGAAGCATGAATACAGCCATTTTTTGACAGAGTATCCATACAGGCTTCATAAGTTCAGTGATATGTGAAGACTAAGAGTGGTCCGACTTGGCAAAGTGCATGACAAACTGGAACCTGTCCTCGCAGTCCTGTCCACAGATGTTACACATGAAGGGGTGGTGCTGGCTGTGGAAGCCTGAGTGGATACTGTACAGCAGGAAGTCATCAAACGTCATGCTGCAGTGGATACAGTGGTAGCCTGGGTCCCCGTTGGTCAGGGCGGGGGTGGTGTTGGGGGCGGGGGCTCCGCGGGACAGCACGCCGAGACTGGCTGCCATGGCACCCAGCGGGGAGCTATCCATCAGACGGGCATGCTTGGCCGAGGTGAAGTGGAGGTTAAACTGGTACCTTTGGGAGAGGAGAACACAAGACTTACTAACAGTCCCATTTACAGACTCCAACTCCAATCTAAGCACTACTGGCCACTCTAAAATAAAGAGGTTTTGATTTTTGTACTTATCCTAGTGCACATTGCATATGAAATATATTACATTAGAATAATGAAAAACAATTAAAAGCAAACAGCATGATAGTTGATTCACTACTTCCATGCCACAGCATACAACACTATGATAGTCAATGCCCCTGAATACAAGGGTTAGTTCATTTAAAACATTTTATGACAGCTTTTTGTCCTAGGCAATTTCTCTATGGATTCTACTTCTAACTTCTACTTTTGAGGACTGAAGTATCCAATATGTCCCACCTGTCGGTTGCGGTGTGTTTGCAGATGTTACAGGTGAAGGGGTTCTCCTGGTGGTGGAAGCCTCCGTGGATGCTGTACATCAGGAAATCCCCGAAGCGCACCCCGCAGTGGTTACACCTGTACCCCGCAGCCGCCCCCGATGGCGCCTCCGACTCACTCCGACTGTTCCCGCTTGCGGTCGGGTTGGTCTGAGGAGAGACTGAAACACAGGCTACCAGCGCAGTGCCCTTCACCTGCCTGCCGACTTCACTCCCAGCACTCTCACTCTGTGTGGAAGTCCCACTGCCCTGGAAATCAGAGCTGGTGCTCTTCGGTGCAGGCCAGTTCTGCTGTCCAGCCAAGCTGCTCCTTGAAGCAGTCTCTACGCTGCCCACAAGCCCACTCTGAAGAGGGTGGACCCGAGATACCATCAGTGCCCCCCCTCCTCCTCCTGTGTCTGATTTCTCAGCATCTTTATCAGTGCCTGTGTTCTCTTGTTCCCCATTTGGTTTGCCAAGACTGCCACTGTCTGTGTTAGTGACTTCCTCGCTTGTTGTCTCTGCTGTCACACCTTCAGCTGAGGATATCTTTGTGGTTGACATCTCAGGTAGAGAGGTAGAGTGGTGATGCCCAAATGGGTCTGTACTGTCCTCGGAGATGATTTCTGGAGAAGTAAAACAGTATTACATGTATCTTCAATTAATGTTATACGACATGGAAACCAAGGGATACTGTCAACAACACACACACACTCACACAATCCTGTCAACAAGACACCCAAATAACCCAGCTTGGCACTAGAAAAACCTTAAAACTGCATTTCCCTTTCTGTTCCCTAGGCCTTTGCGAACATCTGCTGACATATCCTAGCTGCAGCCAATGCATATTTCATTAAAAAAAATGCACTTAGACAATGTAATAGACAGCATACTTCCTGCCATTCTTTACATCCATTTAACATTATTTGACATTACAAGCGTGTTTTTTGTACATGTAGCATGAAAGTTCATCTGAGTTGGTAAATTACATTATGAAAAACTTAAACTTGCCAGAGGCCATATACATCAGGGCACTTCAACCATCGCTCAACCGGGACAGGGGGCGATATCGACTTCAGACAACCTTTGACCCTTTGCTGACGTCACACATGGGAAAAATCACGTGTCCACAGCATTTGGGTCAGATAGCTGAGGAAGACTGAGTGATTCAGTCGAAAATTTCTGGTGAGTCAAATTTTGAGTTGGAGAAAAGTTAAAGTTTTTCATAACATTTTGTACATGTAGTTTAAAAGGAAGTCACTAGGGAAAACAAAATTCCTGGACCTGCATTCAGATCATTCACTTGTTCCATAGGTCTAGGGCTACCTATAATAAAGAAGACAACTTGTTACAATAAAAGTCTGTTCCAAATATGTTAGACTTATCCTGTTTCCCAACCAACCAACCTATAGCCAACCAACCAACCTACTAACTAACCTACCAACCAACAACCATCTAGGCCAATTAACAAAGAAACCCTGGTTGGCTGGTAGTAACACAATTTCACCACGTAACTTGTCTATGGTAAAACATTTAGCACACCAATTCACTTCCTTGGTTCCCTAGTAAAAATTCAGCAAGAGGACAATGTGAAAATAGGAGCCTGAGCATTTTAGATAAATTAGAATATATATTAGACATGGGTCTGAGGGGAAAGTCTGTACTTAATATCACAGAGTTTAACTTTCAGGGAGTGAACATAGTCAACATGAGTCAAGGGAGATGAAATTGAATCTGACTGTATGAGATCAACTCTCATCAAGTACAGACTTTCCCCTCAGATTCATGTTGCTATTCCTATTCAGCATTCTTTTCTACAGGCTTAGTCAGACTTGAGTCTGTGTCTGAACACATCAGACCTCCTACCTGAGTCAGACAGTTCCTCCATCAGGTCTGTCACTGCCTTCAGGTCAGGAGAACTGGGAGGAGATGCCATTACATCATCATCATCATCATCAGGGGCAGATACACTGTAGTCAGGGGAAAACAACATCTTTTTAGATACATATAAATCATCCAGAAATTTTTGTCATATACACGTGTAGAAGTTATAAGAGGAAGGATGAAGGACATGAATGAACATATAATCACCTTTCAGACATACAATTCAATCTAAATATGTACCTTAGAAATAAGTAAGCAAAGGGGAATCAAAACTACTAATAAGCATTATGGTAGCTTTAAGATGTTTTCATCTGTACAAGAAGAAGAAAAAGCAATAAAATTTGCTGACCTTGGCATCCTTCTGGCCTGTGGACTGATGTGCTCCTTTCCGATGGATGAGTCCTCCTGTGCAGGTGTCTCCATAGCCGTGTTCTCCTGACTGCTGTCCACCACCCCTCCATCATTACTGACACCTCCCCTGTTTGTCACATCCTCCTGTTTCTCAGACTGCTCCTTGTGAGTGTCAGTAGTACTGTTTGTGGCAGGAGTCTCAGATATAAACTCCACATCACTGTCATCTGTCTGTGAGAGACTTGGTACAGGCAGTGACGTCCCTTCTTCTGCCCTGTTGCCAGCTGTTGTTACCAGGGACAGCGGACCCTCCGAGTTCTTGACCGCTTGTCTGTCCGCAGACTTCCACAGGAGGGGGAGGGGTTCAGAGTCGTCCACCTGCGAGCCTTCTGAGCTGATAGCTGGTGAGGCAGAGGTGGGGCTGTCCCGTTTGTACATGTCGTGTCGGAGCGCCGCCCGCCCGCCGTGGTACAGCAGCATGTGCCTGTCCATGTCCTCGTGGTTGGAGAACTCCAGGTCACACTTGAAGCAGAAGCGGAAGATGGTGTTGGTGGAGTGCCAGGTGGTGAGGTGGCCCTGCATGAGCGTGGACACGCGGCTGGTGAAGGTGCAGTACGGGCACTTGAAGATGGTGAAGTAGACGTTCCTGATGCGGCCCGACCCCCGGCCCATGGTGATGTGTTTACGGGAGTGCTCCTCCAGGTCTGCCCGAGAGGCCCCGGCAAACTTACAGTGAGTGCAGATGTAGGGGAAGTCCCTGTTGTCATGCCTCTTCATGTGGACCTGCAAGGCCGCGTTACTCTGAGTGTAGTAGTGACACAGACGGCACTTGTACGGCGTGCCCTGGTTGGTTAGAGGCGGGGTCTCACCAGGATGGACATCTGTGGCATGTTTTATGATTTCTTCCTTGCGATGGCCGGTGAACTGACAAAACTTGCACTGGTAGAAGACAAAGCGTCTACCGCTAGTCAATGAGACCCTCCCGCTGGTATCCACAACAGCCCCAGGTGCACGGCTGCTCGCTGGCAGGCCTGAGGGAGGACTGCTGGGGAGGGGAGGGGGGCTGACCACTACTGCGTGGGGGTGGGGGCTGACCACTCCTGGGGGTGGGGGCTGACCACTACTGACGGGGTGGGGCTGACCATTACTGACGAGGGTGGGGGGCGTGGTTACAGTGCTTGAAGCAGAGCTAACCACTGCGTT